AATCCTCACACTTGCTCCATATGTGGCCTTCTTTGTAAATCACTTGCGGGTCTTAAATGCCACTTAAGATTATCGCACAAACTTTCATAACTGAATCAATAAGCTGGCAGATCCTCATACGTCGAAACCGTCCGGAGAGTCCATTATATATATATATATATATATATATATATATATATATATATATATATATATGGTTGGATTGATATTGAGCGCTTTCTAATAAGTACCATGAATATAATATATAAATAATTATACATACTTATATTTATTTATATTAATATACACTTTTCACACACACACACACACACACACGCACACAGACACACACACACACACACATATATATATATATATATGAAAAATATACTCTTAAGGTGTGCTATATTTGTGGGATAAAGTGCTCAATATCAGAGATAGTGTGTGTAATATAAAAGTGAACATTGAAGTCAACACTTAGAGGTGACAGTGTTTCATGCTAGACGAAATCGTCAGGCGTCGTGGCCTGAAGATTGCGTCTAGCATGAAACAACCTGTCCTCTATGTGTTGACTTCAATGTTCACTTTTATATTTATATATAATATATATATAAATTAAATTAAATTTTAAAATTTATTAAATTTTATAAATTTAAAATTCAATTTTAAATTAACTCTATTAAATTTTAACGTTATCTTGAATTAATCATAACTTTAAGATCTCGCTACAAATTCTATGTTGGGTTCAGATTTCGATTCATTTCAGGCCAAAGTATGACGATAATCCTGTCTTTAATCAATTTTTCACCAATCCATATGAGAGTTTAAGATCATTATCATGTCAGAAAGTGTAATGTCGTCTCCCAAAATATTGCAGTCGTTCATATGGTTTGGGACATGAAATTTACACTGCATTCAGGGTAAACGGACAGTCTTGTTCATACAAAAACGCAACTAAAATAAGTATAGCGAAACAAGTTGTTATTATTTTTCCTGTCTGTTATTCTATATTATTGCTAGAATTTATGCATTTCATTATATATATATATATATATATATATATATATATATATATATATATATTATGTAATTCATCGAGTCTAGAAGAAACCTCAACAGAATGCAGAAAGCTCTGGACGGCCGTTTCATCCTATATTTGGGACTCATCATCAGTGCGCATCCGCTATATATATATATATATATATTTGGTTGGATAGATGTGAGTTTGTGACCCTGGGTTTCACGCTTTCTAATAAGTGCCGCGCATATAATATATAAATAATTATATATATATATATTTATTTAATTTATATACACTTTCACACACACACACACACACACACACACACACACACACACACACACACACACACACACACACACACACACATATATATATATATATATATATATATGATAAATTCACCCCAAGCTTGGTGGGAATACCATTAGTACGCAGGGGGTTACGGTGAGTGAATGTGAGAAAAACGACTGAGTATAGGGAGGATTGTGGAAAGGATAAAAAGATGAACGGAACTTATAAAAAGACAGAAGATGGCGATTGACCTTGCGTCTAAAATCTTTGACGATTTATATATTTATCAGGGAACCAAGTAAATAGGAGGGAGTTCCACATGTGGTAAGTGCGAGAAAATAACCTGTTGAAGTAGAAGTAGAGGTTACATTTCAACTACTTCAACAGTAAACGAGTGGGACCTAAATGCCAATCTAGTAGAACGCTTAAATTCACGTATTCGGGAAACCAGGGAAAAATAGCTTGTCAGAGCAGTTGCCATGAAAATATTTGTAGAAAAGACAGAGAGAAGGCACCTGGCGTCAAGATGCCAAGCCAGGATCGATTACACTGCAGATCCTTCTTTGGATTTTGCAAGGTGAATAAGCAGGAGCACCTGACCAGATATGGCAACAGTGTTCACTGCAATGATATCGTTGCCAGTTGTAGCTGAGTGAAAATGTATCAGAAGGTAATTTATGTAAGGCAAACATTATGCGTGCTTATTATACATTATCCCACAACACGTAGATCAAATAAAGAATACAAGGACAATTTGTATTGCAAGAATTACTAAAAACACAATGGTTAGAGATCCAACAATAAAGAAATATCTATATATACAATAGATATACATGCAAGGATAACAGAATATTTGTTTATTGTGGTAATTGAGACAAGGTTATGAAGAATGTTCATGCAGAAATTTGGTCAATAAAAGTTAATGGTTTTGATTTGTTAGTGAAATTAAAATAATTTTATTTCTGCGAGGAAAAATCTCTAATGTGTTCGTTCAAATATTAGTGTGTATGCGTGTGTTACTTGTTAGTTAAAATTTAAGTTGTGAAGAGTTGTTTGCCTTTAACTGTTTGGCTAAATTGATGAATTGTATAATTACTGTATGTGTAGTGAAAACGTTCACTTTTTAAGTCAATTGTATTTTGATTACCACGCGGACAATGGTCGTTTGAGTGCTGTGTTGAGTTTGTTGAGAATTTTGAAGTGATGTTGAGTCAGTGAATTGACACGCGTGGAGTTTGGTATCATCTCACGAAACTTGATGACTGGCTGACTTGAATTGAGTCATGCGGCTGTTTATATAGACTTTGGTGTCTAAAAATCGGCTCCAGGGAGCTTCGTGGGGGAAAAGGATCTGTTTCGATTTTGCTACAGTTTAGTGTTTCTTAACCAATAGAAGATTAAATTTACTGAAACGAAGTGGTGATTGGTTAAGGCTTTTTTTTTAGGGGAGAATACATATCTCCGAAAGGGGTGGAAGGCTAATGTGGAAGATTCCACAATGTATTTGTAAATATGCAAGATGGGCTTTGACGAGAAAAAAAAAACCATAAACTCGTATTTTATTCGTCCCTATAAAGAAATATGGAATACTAGAATATTTTTCTTATGAAAATCAGGTTTTTCTACTATTTCAAATGGCAGTTCTTGTTGCATAATTATTTCGTATTCATATTTAGAATACTGAATTCATGAAAGCCATAGACTTATCTCCCTTCAAAATTACCCATTTCTCTAAAAGAAAAGCAACAAAAAAAAGGCTCTTCAGTTCGAGAACTCCCTTCAGGAATAAAAGAAGGTAGAGAAATAAACACTGAGGAAAGAAAATGAGGGAATGGAAAAAAAGATTTAATGAATCATATCAGGAAATTTATGAGGCGTCACCTTGTAATGCAAGGTCTGCTGGTTGTCACTCACAGATCCAACATTTTATTTTTGCTCTATCAGCCATAACTAGAGAAACAAAAGAACAAAATTTATATTGCGTTACATTCAAAGCAATATGTCTCCAGATATTCTTAATTCGACAAGGTGTGAAGAGAGCTTTTCATTGATGTCTCAGCAGTCCGCTTTTGTTATATTCAGAGGAATTTAATAGCATTTACCAAGTAAATATTTATAAAGATTTCTCTTCTGCAAGCAACTATTATTTAAATTACTGAATTTCCTCGACTATCAATGCATTCCTATAGTAAAATTATTAGCAATGCATTTACATTATACATAAATTAGCCCTATTCTATCAGTAATGCTTGCATTCATTCCTGACCACTGACAATCCCTTTCTTCTTGATTTTCAATGCATTCCTATAGTAAAATCATTAGCAATGCATTTACATTATACATATAATAGCCCTATTCTATCAGTAATGATTACATTCATTCCTGACCACTGACAATCCCTTTCTTCTTGATTTTCAATGCATTCCTATAGTAAAATCATTAGCAATGCATTTACATTATACATATAATAGCCCTATTCTATCAGTAATGCTTGCATTCATTCCTGACCCCTGACAATCCCTTTCTTCCTCATTTTCTATGCATTCCCATAGTAAAATCATTGGCAATGCATTTACATTATGCATATAATAGCCCTATACTATCAGTAATGCTTGCATTCATTCCTGACCACTGACAATCCCTTTCTTCTTGATTTTCAATGCATTCCTATAGTAAAATCATTAGCAATGCATTTACATTATACATATAATAGCCCTATTCTATCAGTAATGCTTGCATTCATTCCTGACCACTGACAATCCCTTTCTTCTTGATTTTCAATGCATTCCTATAGTAAAATCATTAGCAATGCATTTTCATTATACATATAATATCCCTATTCTATCAGTAATGCTTGCACTCATTCCTGACCAATGACAATCCTGGTCATTTCCTGATTTTCAATGTATTCCTATAGTAAAATCATTAGTGGTGGTTATAATGGATAATACATTATAAATATCATACAAATCCCTATTCTATTTCAGTAGGTTCAAGATATTCATTCATTCCTGACCACTGAAATGCATTTCTTCCTGATTTTCAACCCTCCATTCATTATAGTAAAAATCATTAAAATGGAAAATGATTTTGAGGATAGATTTTATCCTTAAAAAATAGATGGCATTAAATACCCTCATATTGTGCACATCCATAAGTATACATATACAGGTATGACTGTACCAGAATTTTCTGATGGCTGCCGTTGATAGACCGTTGGGGAAAAGAGTTAGTGTGGCTTCTGCATTCGTAACCGCCGTAAGATTACAAGTCAATGAGATGATGAGGAGGAGGAGAAGAATGATGAGCTTTATAACTTTGGGCCCTGATTTCAACGAATTGAAGTGTGCTACTAGTTTTGACAAAAAGGGTCCTTTTCCTGTTGAACTACCGAGATAGTGTTTATTCTATTTTAATATTTTCTTTTCTCGCACTTCTCACCTGTAGAACTATGTTCCAATATCTTCCTTTACTATTACCTACAATCTTTAAAAATTTAAATGCAACTACAATCGTCATCTTCTGTCATCCTGGATCCTGTTTTTTAAGGTTTTTTCTTCTTTATCACACTGAAGTTTTTAAAAAATTTTTCACTGTCGGTAAACGCATTGCATCTTAGTGGCAAAAGCGTTGCTTGGGGTTGAAATGATTAAAATATTATATATATATATATATATAAATATATATATAATACTAAATCAGTCACGGGATAAGTTAACTTCATATGAATTCAAAACACACCCTTCCTTTCGGACATGTCCAGCACCATCCGGGGCGAGGTGCGGTGGGGATAGTGCCCCAGGAGGCCATCTCCACAGGTAATATCCATTCTTGGTGCGGTGGCAGGGATGTTGGTGGGGGTTATGGTCATTACATAGATAGATAGATAGATAGACAGATAGATTGATATACAGATAGATAGATAGAAACAGTCTGAGATAGATAGATAGATAGATAATGATAAAAAGAAAAGAAATATGCGATACTCTATTTAGATGGTTAAATCTTTTAGATAATAGATAATGATTAAGAAATAAATAGACTGAGATAAATATCCGGACCGAGATGCGGGGAGGATAGTGCCCCAGGAGGTCAAAAACAGATAATATCCATTCTTGGTGCGGGGGTTAGGGATTTTGGTGAGGGAATTATGGTCATTACATAGATAGATAGATAGATTTAAAGATAGATAGATAGATAGATAGACAATCATAAAAAAAAAAAGAGAAAGAGAAAGGGACTGGGATAGATAGATAGATAGATAGATAAATCATAGATAGATAGATAGATAGATATTCTTCATCATTTAGAGAGAGAGAGAGAGATTTGATCTGACATTGATCGATGAACAGATGAATCGATACTGTATGAAAGTGATTGTCTACCTCTTTCATTCCAATGACACTGTCATCAAATTTTTCTTCACGACTCTCCTTCCTTCCTTTCACTTCACAGCATTAGTCGAAAATGTCGATCATTCCATAAATACATCAACCCAAGTCTTTAATATATTCCTCCTCCCATTACTTTCTTCTGTCATTTCATTTTGGTCATATTGTTTGATTTTTTTTCTTTTTTATTCAACACGGCGAATCGAACATAAGCTGGAAAATAAACTGCTTCGTAAATTGCAAATAAAAGACGCACACACACACACACAAAAAAAATGGCAACAAATTGCAAAACAGATAAAGACTTGGAAATATAATCATGTCTCTCTCCGTGCACAAAATATTAAATTACAACGTCGTAATGTAAACTGGCTGATTACTTTGTTTCGTGTTTAGTTTACGTATTTATTCTTTCTGTTTCTTTTTTTTTCTTTTGAAAGTTGTTTATTACCTGTTATCGTAGTTTAGAAGAAAATCACACCACAAAAGAATTAAAATTAACAGATATTTTAAAGGACAAATAACTTTTGTAACAAGTCCTTTCACGCTTGCAATAAAAAGCTTAATGACATTATTAGAACTACACTATTTTTCTTGTCACAAACAACAAAAAAGAAAATCTTTAAATTCTAAATATGATAAAAGCGAAATATAATGATACCGCCATTTTTTTTTCTTTCTACGACGAATAAATCTCAAATTATAGTGTTTCGGTGTAAATTAGATAGAAGCCAACAATCGCTGTTGATTTTTTTTCTAGCTTCTACGATGTCAGGATATTAATCGCGGCGTTGGTAAATTGTTATAGTTTCAATATTTTCAGTGATTACAGCGAAATTTGCATTTTTATAAAGGTTTTCAATATTAAGTTGTGCATGAAATTGTTATCTGAACGTAGCTTCCCGTTTAGCTGCTTCTATAAACATTTCCACGGTAATTGTTCTGATGAGCTTTCCGTTTTATTTTATTTAATCCCGCCATCTTCCCTACCGTTAGTTGACAGAGATGTCAGTTATCTGGTAGATGCGGAACACTTTCCCTGCTTATTTTTTTATTTTATTTTTTTTTTGAGTGTGTATTTCGTATTTATTTTTGTATTTGATGATTGGGGTTGCGTGCGTGTTTGGTTGAATGATTGTAATTAACTATCTGCCACTATTAAGGACTGTGCTTGGGATGTGTGGGGAGGGTTATTAATAAGATTATTTTGCTTAGTTTCTTGTATAAAAATGCATTATATATATATATATATATATATATATATATATATATATTATGGATAAACGTGCAATCAATTTACAAATTTATAGCATTTTGGATACAACAATACATATATTTTCGTTGTCCTCTTATTACTAAAGAAAAAAACAAGAACAACATCTATTCTGTTACCTGAAGATGTTTGTTAGGTTTATTTTATTTTGTAGTAAAAGATAAGAACTAATACGGCAGAAATTTATGGAAACAAGGATCAATTCATTCATAACGAATTCGGAGGTTTTTGTATATTATTTGAATTGTTTTGCGATGATGGATTTCAATGCCAATTAAATCATTAACCTTTTTAGAATTTTTGTTTGAATAATTATGTGAATGAATATATATATATATATATATTTATATATATATATATATATATATATGAATGAAAAAAAATATACGGAAAAAAAACAAAACAAAAAGAATCCTATATATAATTATGCTGTTTTAATGTTTAATATGTCAACGTTTATTTTGTTTTCTAATAAACCATCTTCAAGGACATATTTAAATTATAACATTTTCAATACAACATGACAAATGAATGTACATAAGAACAATTCTTTCCAAACAAATGGTTTGGTTTGATATGTTTTACACAGTGTATCCATAAATTTTATTTGCACTTTAAAAGAAATTATAGCTTTTATTTGTATTTTGCGATAGAAATAATTTGTAAAAAGGTTTAGAATGAACTAAATTTATATTTTTTTAAGGTTTTATTGTAATTTTATTTAAGTTTCCACATGTCCTCCATCGTTAGCAATACAAAGGGTCATACGATTTTGCAGTTCACGGCTTATAATGAACGGAGCCTGTCTCTTTAATTTTTTTTCATCCATTTAGCAATAGTGTTCCTATGAGGTGGTTCTTTATTGTATCCAATTCTAAACTTTCTTTCTACAGCAATAGTAGATTTCAGTTCAGCCAACCAAAGGATACAGTTTACTTTTTTCCTCAGTTGAAGCCATGGATGAAATTGATTCTTGAAAAAAGAAAATATTTTTTTACTTATCTAAAAATTGTTGCAAATTTTGTGTTAAAGAATTATTCAATAACTATACTTAAAACTAGGTACATTAAACTTTATAACATTTTTTTACAGATTATTTCTATTGCAAATACAAATAAAGTTATAATATTTTAAATTGCACACGAACTTTATGGACACCTTGTGTGTGTGTGTGTATATATATATATATATATATATTTGACCAAACTTGGCACATACATTGTACAATGGAAGAGATATGTTCTTAGCGCAAAAATCGATAATTTTAAAAAAATCCATAATCGATAAAGCCGATTAAAAATCGATACATTCAACTTTTTTTCCTCCGATTTCGTTCAAACTCGGTATGTAGGTTACTAACATCATGACGAGCTCAACAGTGCCTCATTTTTTTTTTATTTCTCCGCCACTTCGCTTAGCGAAAAAAAACGCGAGAAACGAAAAGTCGATTTCAACACAAATTTTAAACTAAAAATTTCTTCAATTTTCAAGCAATCTAATACAAACTTCACTCAATTGTAGCCAAGTTGATTGTTTAACAGTCATTTAACTTGATAATTGAGTCGACCCATATGGTGAAAATTCATGTAAATAACGACAAATAGTGATTTTTACTGGTTTCTTTCTTTTTTTGTATTGATCTTTCAACCAATTTTCCTCAAACTTAACAATTGCTTTATAAATGTATCCTCTTTTATATTCCTGGTAGAACACTGACAAACTGAATTTCAAAAACTCCAAAATAATTATGATCTGAAGTGGGTCTTCATATAGCCTGATTTACCCCTTCATGTCCTTGGCTAACTTCGACTGAATAAATACAGACTACTTCTATTATATCCGTAACTGCATTAATTCAAAATGTTTCTTTATAATGAAAGTACTTTAAAGTAATTGAAGAAGATAGACTCTGTTACATTTAAACATGATGCTGTTTTTGCTCCCTTCTAATTGAACGCTTTTTCTGATCGACAAGTTGGGTAAGACTACTAGTTGTAAATATTCATTGGGGTTTCATTTTTAAATGATTTATTCCCATCCACGAAGACAAATTGTACATAAGGGAAATAGTTAGGACTACATAGAGACTTTGAGGTATTATGGTGACTGTAGTAAGATTATGTAAGAATGTGTTCTTTTGGTGTAAAGAATACAGTGGTATATTTGGGTCAATGATTGTGGCTAGCTAAGTTTAAAATAAGAATGATTGAAGACCAAGATTTCTTTATACCTCATGATAAACGATACCTTATTTTTTTTCTACGTCATTTTGCTTAGCGAAAAAAACCGCGAGAAACGAAAAGTCGATTTCAGCACAAATCGATTTCAACACAAATTTTAAACTGAAAATTCCACTGTGCCACATTTTTGTATTTTTCAAAATAAATATTGCTTTCCTTTTTGTTACGTAGACATTCTGAATTTAAGCGAGTTACTCGATTCTCATTATTTAGATCCCACTTCGAGGCATTTTTCTTTTCTTTTTTTTTCGATTTCTCTCTCTCTCTCCCCCCTCTCTCTCTCTTTTAATATCTTGGAAGTGTTTTAAACAGAGGACGGAAAGTGCGACACTGAAATTCGAACGCTGCCTGGGATAGCGAAAGATGCCTTCCAAAAGCTAAGCAAAGTATTAAGAAACAGAAAAATTTCATTAGAAACAAAGAAAACAGTGTTGAACTGTTACGTGATATCTGTGCTCCTGTATGGCAGTGAAGTGAACGCTGGGCAATCTCCTCAAAGACGAAGAAGAGACCTGAAGCAACAGAAACGTCTTTCTACAGAAGGATGTTGAGAATACCATGAACCGAACATTTGAGCAACGACGAAGAAAAATAGAAACGAAAAGGTCATAAAATCAAGACGAGAGAGTTTAAATTTCTAGGGCACATAATGAGGAAAGAGGGCTTGGAAAATCTGATACTCACAGGACAGATTGAAGAGGGACGGAAGGAAACAATACATACCTTACCTAGTGACCTTGAGTAAATGGATGGCGGAACAGAGTTTGGGAGAGATAACAAAATCATAAAATTTATTAAGAGCTGAAAAGGACAGTATACTGTGGTGAGTCATGATCGCCAACGTCCTGAAGGGACACGGCGCATAAAGAAGACGTACTATATTCTCGTAATTTCTCTGTGGAAATTTCTAGTTGTAACCATAAGTTCTGTTTTATACTTTATTGCATTTATCGCTTGTGGAACTTTCTTCCAACATTCTGCTTACATGTCTGCTACGATCTATTCCTTTCCCAGCTAAATAACCCTCTTGCAATTAATGTAGTTTGTATTGCATTGTTTGGGGGTGCGAATGGTAAAAAAAAAACCCTATGATCTTCAAAAATTTAAATGTCAACTTTCTGTATCTTTGGTGTATCTGCCAAGGAGCACTGTGATGAAGGGCATGGTTCAATGGTAGTTCTCTTACAACATTTCAATAATGAAATTTTATATATTTCCTGAAAAGAACTTCACTACTTCAAGCGTGTAAATTTGTGAAACTGTTAAAGGTAGCCGCCTCTTCTACTCCAATAGCTTCATGTCTCGCACTTCCCGCCTGAGGAACTCCCTTCCGCTTCTTCCTATTCTAATATAATGCCAATCGACATCTCTTAATGCCTTGATCTAATTCCCCGTCTTTTTCTTTATCCTCTCCGCAATCACGTCTCTTTACTTTTGTTCCCGCTTTTTGTAACCCCTTGCGCGCGTCGCTCCCGGCTTGCTTGGGGTGA